ATCACAACTGTATACTCTACTATATTTTAACATTTTCGAAAAGTCGATTTACAAAACTATTCAATGTTTTGATAGTATTCACAAATTTTGAAAGAAGTTATTTTTAAACGGTTGTATTTTTTTTTCAATAATTTCTCAAATTTATTCAGTTTTGATAGACTCTGTTTACTCTATTGTATCCGGCCGGATAAATGAACTTCAATGAAGAGCAGACTGAAAGACTGCACAACATATTTAAACAAAATGACACCGATGGAAACGGAATGCTTTACGAGCCAGAGCTGAGAAAGCTTTTATCTGAATTTGAAATTGATGAAGGATTCGCACCAGCCTTGATGAAGATCTTTGTTGGCTCCAAACAAGGCCAGGGTGTCACTTTTGATGATCTCACAAAATTTTTCGAAGTTTTGATTTCCGGAAATATAAAAAATTTCTTCGAAATGCTTTTCAACGCAATGGATGGAAACAGTGACGGTGGAATTGAAATAGAGGACCTCCTCTCCTTCTCGGCCCTAGTTGGAGACGCCCTGACCTCCGAAGATGCGGCTGAGATTATCAAACAGTGTGATGACAACAAGGACGGAAAAGTCCAGTTCAAGGAATTCTGGAAGTGGTATAACGACCAGCACAATAAGCAAGACTAATTTGTATATTTAAAATAGAGACGAGGAAATACTCAAAAAATTTAAACTAAAAGAAAAAACAACTCTAAAAATAATGTATTATGTTGTCAAATAGAGAAAAATAAAATTGGAAAAAAAATGTTTGGAAATTCAATTATTTACAAAAAAAAACTGAATTTTCACTCTCATTTATCCAATCAAGGCAATTTCTCTAGTTTTTCACAGGCTACAGCTGAATTTGACAAAAAATGGGATTTTAAGATTTCAAGAATCCTAAATTCATGAAAAATTGTAAGACTTTTTCGTGATTAGTTGATAAAAAAAAAATACTCTCTCGAAATTATTATCGCGAAATTTACTTCACAAAGACATTCCAGAAAGTGAGACAGAAAATGAGGTTAGGTGACATGAAATAAATAATGGTCAAACATTTGTCAAATTGATTTATCGTTATGACATTAAAAAGTTCAAAAAAGGGATTTCGTGGAGTTGAACCACGTCCAGATGATTTGCAGTCATTTGTTCTACCGTTAAACTAAAACCCCTGTTGATATCTGCCTTTTATTTAAAGAATCTAAAATATTCTTTCATAAAAATTATATTTTCACATTTTCAATCTGTCTTGATTGTTAATCAACACCATTTTTTCTTGATATATTTGTGAAAATTTGTAATAGTGAGATGAAAAAATAAATCATAAAAAGCTTATTATCGAAAAATTCAGACAGGTTTATTTCAAATATCTGGTTTCATCACTCTCCGAGGTTTTGCCGGACTTGAAAAGAAATTCAGCATTTTAGATGACACCGGTGATTGAGAAGTCGAACAGCTCCAAGGTGTTGGACTTTTCAAGAATTCGTATGAAGTTTTATTATTTTTATCATTTTCGAAAAGTGATTTGAAATCATCTTCATCTTCCATTTTTGGCAGAGGCTTATCGGCTTTGAAATGATGCTCCAACTTTTCAACATTTCGTCTGAACTCATTTGTAGCCCTAGTTAAATCGCCATTTATTCTGTGAGCATCATCAAGCATTGTGGTATATCCGCCCTCACAAAAATCTTGATGCTCTTGATAAAATAATCGATATCCTCCATCTAAGATAAAGACGTTAGGATAGAAAAGATTTGGATACTCCATCCTATTCAAATTTCTGTCGGTTTCTCGAAAAACTGAGGCTAATTGTGGGCCACGGTTATGAGAAAATTCACAATGAAAAACAATAATCGTATTCGGAATGACGTGCTTAAAAAACATGTCTTTTAATACATCTGATGAATTTACATTTGTAGCACCAACAATATGACCCCCATTATACTCATAATTATAGCGACTATCGATTATATAAAGACTGTCAAAGAGTTCGTCGTATCGTCCGGTAAGTAAATCAACCAATGTCTCACCTGTAATTTTCGGAACATTTCCAATAAAAGGAATTGATGGGATTATTGTTTTATTTTTCATTAAATTTTCGAAAAGTGGATTAAATCGAGGCGAATTCTTGCGTGATGCACTTAATGGAATGTCGTCAAGTTCAGGAATGGGAATATTTCCTCTCTTTGGTGAAGAAAAAGGCGATTCTTTACCAAACTTGCTCATTGCAAAAATTGTTTAACGTATAGATTTTTCCTTCCAATGAATTTGAAAGTAGCAGGGTCAGAATTGGTAACGGATGGGTCATGCATTTTGTTAAAGACATTGTTAGAAATGCATGGTGAGTAGTGATTTGATGCGCATTAAATCTGCTTGAAAACAATTTCATCAGATTTTTTTTTCTTTTTTTCAAAAATCATTCGATATCAAAAAAATGGAAAATTTATGTGAATTAAAATATAATGTTTGCAAATTAAGACAATTTATTCAATTAAAAAATGAGTTAAGTTTTAATGAAATTATGATTTCTATCATTGAGAAAACTAATTAACTAACTTTATAAATTGTATTCGAAAATGTTAAAGGAATTCTATTGGAAAAATATCCTTTTCCCCGATAAAATATCAAGATATTTCCCATTTCAGATTACTAAAAAAATATAATATTATATTTTTGCTGTTATCTCACTGACTTTCATATTAATAGGTATAATTATATTGAATAGGCATTTATTTCATAATTGAAAAATAATAAATTGTTTGATAACCAAAAATATCAATTATACATCAAGATATTTCCAGATTTAATCGAACGGTTTAATAACTTTTTCAGGGCGATTTCATTTTACAGAAAAAATTGAGTATTTATCATTTTGAATGCAAAATTTCGCCCCTTCTCCTTTGTTGAACAGCATCATCAGCGAAGTTCGAGAAGGTGGACTCCCCACAGCAGACGAAATCAAGAACTTTTCTGATGAACAAAAAAACGAACTTTTCGAACAACAAAAAATTATTATTTTCAAATTTCGACAGGTGGCCAAAACCCAAGTAGATGAATTGCAAGACAAATTATCACTAGTCAATACAGTTAAGAAGAGTACATGTGGCTCATTTGAAGAAGAAGAAAACTCAATTTTAAGCGACAATGACTCCTCCACAAAAAGTTCAATAGCCGACTCTTCTGGACAAAATTCGTTCACAAAAAGTGGAAATTCTCTTTCAAAAAGCGATAACTTTTTCACACAAAAGTTTCCCCACCATGTTAGAAGTAAAACATCATTTAAGCCTATTGATATAACTAACCAAAAGGCTATAGTTCATTCCCACTTCGTTGGAAAGCAGGCAGGTGGGTATAAGCCAAAACCATCATATTTGAGATCATCTGATTATTTGAGAACTGATCCACGAATTGCAAAAATTGAAAAAGAGTTGCGAGATTTGAGAAGGCAATATCGCACAACAGCAATGATCATAGATAAAAGCTGTAAATAGTGATTTTTGAAAAAATCTGCGGAAATGTTATTAAATAAAAGTATTTTTTATAATATTATTGAAAATTCTTTTTAATTCTGAACTATTCATTCTATTCACATGTAGAATCAAATTCATTGAATCATTCATGAACACAAAAAAAAATATTCAAAAACTATCTATTTGAATCCAAAAATGACATGAACAATAGCTACATAGAAACTACATAGAAATTCAAAAATGCATTGGTTATTTAAGATTCAATTAAGATAAAAAAATATGAGAAATTTGAAAATTTGTTATATTAGTCAATAATAAGAATGCATAGAAACAAATTTTATTTATAAAGACTAATTCCTAAGACAAGTATTACCATCAGGAGCAACACAAAACCAAAAATATAATATTTAGGTGTTCCGTTATTTTTGGCGGTTGATGAATTTTTATGGTTTCTATTTACAGGCGTAATAATTCTTTTCTTCTTATTCGTTGATGTCTCATGTGAGGAACTTGATAATAAGGATGTTTTGACGGTTGACACTGGAGTCATCTTTGATGGCACTGGCGAGTTTCTTCCTGAATTATATGCAGATGAACTTTGACTGTTTTGTGGCGATGGCGAAGATTTTACACGATCTAAACTCATTTTCTTTTGATAATTCTTCAAAATTTGAATCAAGTCTCGTTTTGTCGGCTGCTTTTTTGTTTCTAGATTTAATGTCTTGCACTGCTGCTTTAAATCGCTTAATGAATATCCGGTTATATCATTCCAGTTGAAAGACATTGGAATTTTTAAACGTTCTTAAATCAATTTTCAATGTATATCTGGTCAATATCTTAAATTTCCATTCTCAATTGTTAAACTTTGCAGTGATACTCTAATCTCTTTTGCATCAAAATGTTCATCATAGTATGCTATTAACCACTGTTCATAACTTTTCAGAACCAAATTTAATGTTGTGCATTTGATATCTCGAACATTATAAACTGTTTTTTTCTAGATGTTAAGGTTAAATTATATGATTATAAAACATAATTATAAGCTCAATTTATTTATATTTGTAGCTAATAACACGATCGTTTATTCTTAATGATTGAAAGTTTCTGATCATTCATCATTTTCGTGACGATACTTGATAATACATCAAAACCACTGGTCTTTCAAAAAGTATTTTTAAACGTGCATTTAGATTACTTTTTGCTTTGGTATTTGGTTTCAAGAAAATAGAATGATATATCGTTCGTTTGGAACTTCTCTTGGTGCAGAATATTCATTTTCATTTCCAGAAGAAGTTCCAACACCTTCGATAGATGACGACACATTAGTTTTTGTTAATGGAGAAGGAAAACCATTATCAAGGTTTTACAACAAACAGAATGATTCACTGTTTTCAAAATTCATTCAAAGATTTCCATCCCCTAGTGATTATGAAGATAAATCAACATATTTTCATGATGTTCGTTGTTGGTATGAATCTTTTTATTTAGAAAACCCGTATCTTCTTCCTGTTCCAATTGGAATGTTTTATAGACGCCCAACTAAGCCACATGTTATGTCATCACTAGAAAAAGTTCCTGGGACATATCAAAACAGGATTGCATCAAAATCATTTTCTATTTCAAGTACACCTTTATATCCAGAAAATTATATTGTAATGATTGATGCTATTTTGAACGGTGGTATTAATAATGATGGTAACTTTCCTATTCCTGGTCCCCATAATAAAATAATACCGAAGAAGAATCATTATTCAATAGAATTGCCATGGAATGGACAATTAATTCCGCAAATGCCAGTTCCTAAATTGTATAAATCATACAATGATTATTTAACTGCGATGAAAAGATGGTGTAGAGATATTTCGATTTCAAAAACTGTGCCAATGCATTCAGAAGAACTTGAAAAAGTGATTGGAGTTCAACTTCAACCAAAAACATACGAAAGTTCTGATTCAGATATTCAAATTGAAGAAAATAAAGAAATCGAGTTAAATGTTCAAAAGGCAGAAAGAAATCATTTAAAATCAATATCACATGAAAATTACAACATTATTAATAATAGAAAGTTTTCACATGGATCAGACATAAGTCTGATTAATAAAAATAGTTGCGTGAATCTTCATGATTATAAAGATATTCCATTTGAAAATGAATCAGAGTTGAATAAAAAATCACTTTATGGAATTCAACATATTTATGAGGCAACTTTTCAAATGAATCTAATTAAAGAATTACCAATTCATTTATCTTTCCCAAATGATCTTGAACCATGCAATACAATTTATCATAGCTTTTCAGATTTTGGTGTTACAGAACAAATGAAAGAACAGGCTGAAGCTGCTGGCGTTTTTTATTCATTTGATATTGACGTTTTTGAATGGAAGGGGTTAGGTCATTTACATGTAAAATTTATCAAAGATCTTCTGGAACTTGATGAATTTAGGAAATCTGTTGGATATCGATATTCATTATTTAAATCATTTTGTAAATTGATAAATGATCAAGAAAATGATCTTTTATGTGACGTACTTTTTGCGGACTTGAATACATTACATAAAATATTTCTATTGTTTTCTGAATTTACAGATAAAATAACATATGTTCCAGAACTTTTACCAATTGATGAAAAAGATCCAAACGCTGCAATTTTACAAACGATACAACATATATTTATGTTTCATTGTATTTATCATCAAATGGCA